AGGATAAAGAGTTAGAAACATCAATGAGAGAGAATCGTTGATAAGCTGCCTCTTACACACCCCCTACTGGGGATGTGCCCGCAACCAAGGTACATGCCCTTGACCGGAATCAAACCCGGGACCTTTCAGTCCGCAAGCTGAGGCTCTATCCACTGAGCCCAACCGGTTTCGGCTTATCATTGATGTTTTTATCTCTCTCTCCCTCTTCCTTTCTCTCTGAAATCAATAAAAATATATATTTTTTTTAAAGAGAGAGAGAGACAGCAGAGCAGAACATGTTGAAAGAAATTATAACTAATATAATGACAGGGAATGTCATACATTTAAAAGAACAGGACCTGCCTTTATTCATACATACACTGAGTGGCCAGATTATTATGATCTCTGAATGTATAATAATCTGGCCATTCAGTATATATATATTAGAGGCCTGGTGCATGAATTCTTGCATGGGTGGGGTCTGGCCAGGGGAAGGGGATATGGGCAGTTGGCTGGCCTGCCTGCTGGTTGAACTCCTGGTCCAGGGACAATTTGCATATTAGCTTTTTATTATATAGGATATACACTGAGTGGCCAGATTATTATACCTTCAGAGATCATAATAATCTGGCCACTCAGTGCAGTTGGACAGGACAAAAGGAGGTGGGGAATGAAAGTCTTTGAAATCAAAGGAAGAATGAGAGGAGATACAGACCTAGTTTCCTGACATTAGACTTAGGTAACCTTTTGAAGAATAAAATAAGTCAATGTTTAGGCCAATTAAAAAGAAATGAGGTTTTAGAATTCATTTTCCTGGAAGTAAGTTTGGGAGATGAGCTGAGTTTGTGAATGACTAAAGCTTGGGATTTAATGTGGGCAGGAAAGGAGCTGTCATCATAAGCAGCCTGGCCTCATAGTCCCTAGTCCAGTGATCGGCAAACTGTGGCTCTCGAGCCACATGCAGCTCTTTGGCCCCTTAAGTGTGGCTCTTTCACAAAATACCACAGGCTGGGCGAGTCTATTTTGAAGAAGTGGCATTTGAAGAAGTTTAAAAAACTTGGCTCTCAAAAGAAACTTCAATCGTTGTACTGTTGATATTTGTCTCTGTTGACTAGTGAGTTTGTCCACCACTGCCCTAGTCAAACCAACTTAATGTCCTCAGACATGAAGGTCCTTGATCCTGGTTCACTAGCCTCAGGCCTAGAAATGCCAGAAGCCAGAGAACATCCAAGAATAAAAAGACAGTTCCCTCCCTAGACATGACCAGGCCAGTTCTCTTTCCTCACCTGGTCAGTCTGGCAAGCCTAACAGTCCTAACACCTTTCTGCTTACACCTTTTCTCTTAGCCCTTCCTGGAGTTTAGATCAGCCTTACTGTCTATCCAAGCGTTCTTATCCCTCATCTACCTTAACCTCATGTCTGCGGGTCCTGGTATAGGGGCTCTGTTAGTCCTGAATCCATGCCCTTCACTGCGGCTCACCCACCTTGTCATGTGTCTGTGAGGTCAAGCAGCTGTGAAGGGTAGAGCCTTGGAAATACCTGAGGCTCTAACATCCCGCCACCAGGAACCCTTTGATTCTTGGAAAAGAAACCTTGCCCCTGGTCCCAGCTGCACCAGCCTCTCCCACTTGGTTCTAGCCTGACCCTGACTCTGCTGTTGTCTTATCCTCACAGAAAGTTGAGGAAGCGAGCGGCCAGAGTCTCGGCCCGACGCCCCAAGCCCCCCGGCAGGTAATGGGCGAGCGCCCTGGGACCTCCTGCACGCCCCGGTGGCCCAGGAGGTGGATGGATGGAAGGCAGCCTATCCATGTCCATCCCCAGACCCAAACGGATGAATTAAGGATATGACTGGGGGTGGGGGTCTGGAGGGAGGCAGACATGGGAACGGCCAAGCCTTGACCTCAGGAAGCACGAGGAGGAATGACGTGGGAATGAATGGCTGAGGGAAAGCCTCCCCATCCTTACATGTCCCCCAGAGAGCCGAGCCACCAGCACACGTTCTCACCTTCCCCCAATCTTTCCCTCCCTTAATTCACCCACATTCCCGTTCTCCTGCCTTAACTCTCCTCTTCTCCCCTCCCCTCTCCCACCTGGGCTGACATCGTTCGATTTCTCCTCACTGTTGCTGAATCCAGAGAGCAACAAGAGATCCTGACATGCAGTTCGGGGTCCACAGCAGTCAGTGCTTGTAGCACACCAGGCCACCTTCACGCCAACCCTCCCCACACTCTGCATAAAGGGTTCTTCCCAGAAACAGGAAAAAAAAACATCACCCTCTGCCTTTCCCGGGCCGTGTACCTAACCTCTCCTTCCACTAACTGATTTCTCCTTTTTTCAGACCAATCACCAAGCGTAAAGTCAAACCCAAACCCCGAGTGGGCAGGGGGCCGGTCAAGAGGTAAATAAAGTTCAGGCTGGTGGACAGGAGAGAGACTGCCTAGGGATGGGCCCTGTGATTGGGCTTTGGTCAGGAAGGGGTCCGAGAGAGCCCCCCACCACGAGGGGGAGGAGCAGCAGCTAAGGCAGACCCCCTTCCAGATTCACTGAAACGAAAAATAAGGCTGGTTCTTACATTGGTCTCTGGGGAGTTATGCTTGTCACAGGATTTTTGGAAATCTCTGTAGGGGTTCATCACTGACTACCTTGGTCCACACGCTCATTTATCCCCTCAGTGAATTCTAGTAGAAACTCTGGCACTTAAAAAAAGAAAAAAAAGAAAAAGGAAAAAAGGAAACTCTGGCACTTTTGTTCTTCAGATGCCAATGCTTGCCTCTCCCCTAAGAAGCTGTCTGAGGGATCAGGTTTCCATCCTACCTTTATTTGATTCATTTTTTAAAAATATATTTTTCTTGATTTCAGAGAGGAAGGGAGAGAGAGATAGAAATACCAATGATGAGAGAGAATCATTGACCGGCTGCCTCCTACAACCGTGCACTGGGGATCAAGCCTACAACCCGGGCACATGCCCTGACTGGGAATCGAACCTGTGACCCCCTGGTTCCTAGGTGGATGCTAAAACACTGAGCCACACTGGCTGGGCTTGGTTCACTTTTTTTCTTTTTTAAAATATATCTTATTGATTTTTTACAGAGAGGAAGAGAGAGGGATAGAGAGTTAGAAATATCGTTGGGAGAGAATCATCAATCCTACTGGGGATGTGCCCACAACCAACGTACATGCCCTTGACCGGAATCGAACCTGGGACCTTCAAGTCCGCAGGCCGACGCTCTATCCACTGAGCCAAACCGGTTTCGGCTTGGTTCGCTTTTTAAAATAAGTGCTTCTGGCCTGGACATAAGACTCAGTGTTCCCTCTGGAACCTTTCCCAAGGATGGGCTCCTCTGTGGCTCCCAGTTCCCTAATTTTCCTCCTGGGTTTCTTCAAAGAGAACAGGAGGGCGTGGAAAAGTTCCAGGCCGTGAGTACATCCCAGTAGGCTTCCAAAGGCCATTTGCACACGCAAAGTCTCTCTGACAACTTCTGAGGCCGTTGGCTGAGGTACAGAGAATCCATCCCTTCCTGCTGTGCCCTTCTCTCTCCCGTGCATTCTGAGACCACCCACTGGTCTCCTGGTTCCCCTCCTTCTCCAGCTCCTCCTCTGGTGGCTTCAGAGGGTGTACTGTAGTGCTGCTTAGCTTTGGGTCCTCTTTGTCCAGCGTAGCCATAACTCGAGCCTACCCTGACCCCTCATGGAAGTGCACATCGCCGTTTTTATTTGGTCAGTTGTCGGGGAAGGAGAGGAGGGAGTTCAGAAGAGAGGTGTCTTTCTCCTGTGATGGCCTCTCTGACGTTTATTTTCAGCCAAACAGGAATTTGGGAGAGTACCTGATCTCTTTGAGCTTCAGAATCCACTGATCCTGAGCTTCCAAAGGTATTCTGTCGAGTCTGCAGGCTTCCCTTGCTGTGTTTCTAACCGTTTCCTCCTCTGCGTCTTCCTCACCAATGTCTTCAAGCCATCATGTTCCTTCCTTCCTCTGGCATCAAGTGATGAGGCCCCTTACTGCAATAACTCACTGTCAAACCTGCCTCCCAGGCCCTCTCCACCAATACCTGGCCTCAGCCGGACCGCTTTCCCTCTGGGCTCGAACCAGCTGTCCTGGGAAGAATGTACTTCCGTTGTCACATGCCTAGCTGCACTCTCTTTTTTCATTAGTGTCCGCAAACAAATCCCTTCACTCTCTCAAGCATCTCTCTGCAGTAATTCCAAATGTTAACATCGCTAGTTTAGTCCCATTTTCCTGTCTGGTGGCTGTGGAACATTCTTTCTAACAGGTTTAAATTGCAAAAGCACGGGCTGTCTCATGAGAGACTCAGAGCCAGCTCACGTCTAGGGGTGGGGATGTCTTTACTGTCGTCGTTCACGCTCCCTCTCTGGCCATGTGGTCCCTCTAACGCCTGTTTGTCTTGCATTTATATGCCATCCCTACCTATGCCAGCTCCAGTCTTTCGTGCGCCCACCATCTGGTCTGTTTGTCCCATAACTGCCTGTCATACTCTGGCCTGAAAGTCCCTCTGGCTTCTACGGAGCCATTTAGACCTGACTTAGGCACTTGTTTGCATTCTGACTCATTTGGTTAGTCCAGTCTCAGCACAATAGAAAGATCTGCTCCCTCTGGCTGTTCAGGCTTCCGGTTCACACCGACCGCCCCTCCTGCCCATCTCTTCCCACTGGGAAGTCCCAGCTTCCCATTCTCTTAGCCTCCGTTAGGCTCAGCAGCCTGAAACCATTTGGAACAAGGACTCTGTCAGGCAAATCAAGACTAGCCACCCTCCCATCGGGTTCTTCGGCGGCAGAAGGTCCCCCAAAGACCTTGTGTCTGGGTATCTTGGGCCCTTTCTCAGCTTGGAAACGGCCATTCCCTGTGTCCTTTGGAGGGCAGCATTGCAGAGCGGAGGGGAAGAAGAGGGATCGAGTGGTCATGTGAAAAGTTAGGGGATGGTGCGGCAGGGAACAGGAGGAGGGTTGTGAGCCAAGAGGCAGGAGCGTTGTTTTACCTACTGCTCCCCTCCCTGTCCCCACAGGCTGCTGGCCCAGCGGCAGCAACACTCCTTTGGTCTGCACGGGGTGGCCTGCGTGGGTACGGAGGCCCACCTCTCCCTCTGTTCCTTGGAGTTCTATCGCGCCAATGACACCGCCCGGTGCCCCGGAGGCGCCCCCGTGGTGGTGAGCTGTGTGCCAGGTCCTCTTTATGCAGCATCCAACGGCCAGAAGAAGCAACAGCAGTTGAAACTTCAGGAGGAGGTTTGTGAGACAGTGACCATGACCTTTCCCGCCCCTAGCCTGGCCACCCCTAAGCACAACCCTGACCCTTAAGACAGAGAGGAACCTTCCAGCGGTGGGCCACCGTCCCCCTTCCCTCCCACCATTCATCTCCAGCTCGGCTCAGCCCGCTCTGTGCCGATGCTCCCATCACCGCCGCTGGCCTGTCTCTCTCCTCCGTAGGCCCGAGTGCGTCTGAAGGGCGGGGCCCGCCCCGGAGAGGGCCGGGTGGAAGTCCTGAAGGCTGGCACGTGGGGCACCGTCTGTGACCGCAAGTGGGACCTGCAGGCGGCCAGCGTGGTGTGCCGGGAGCTGGGCTTCGGGAGCGCCCGAGAGGCCCTCAGCGGTGCCCGCATGGGGCAGGGTGAGGGGGGTGAAGGTGGGAGGGAAGGGGAAGGGGGAAGTATACACACTCTGGGAAGTATAATCCTTGGGAAGGAGACCCCTGGACAACGAAAGCCCAATCACAACCTCTTGGTGTTTGCTCTCTGACCCCAGGCATGGGTGCCATCCACTTGAGTGAAGTTCGATGCTTTGGACAGGAGCCCTCCCTCTGGAGGTGCCCTCACAAGAACATCACAGCCGAGGACTGCTCCCACGGCCAGGATGCTGCAGTCCGATGCAACCTGCCCTACACTGGGGTGGACACCAGGGTCAGTCACCCTCTCCCCCTTGGCTCGGGTGCCCTCGGGTGCCTCGTGTCCTATCCAGTTGTCGTCATGCTCTGAAGTGTGACCACTGCCCCAGGCCCCTGCAGTGCTGCAGCTCCCACCTGACCCCATCACTGTTCACCCTCTACGTGCCTCTGACTCACCCTTCGGCCAGATGCCCGCTACAAACTCCCACTCCCCATCCCGAAAGCTTCCCCGGCTCTTCTGTTCTGTCTCTACAGATCCGACTCAGTGGGGGCCGCAGCCGATATGAAGGGCGAGTTGAGGTGCAAATAGGGGGGCCTGGGCCCCTCCGCTGGGGCCTCATCTGTGGGGATGACTGGGGAACATTGGAGGCCATGGTGGTCTGTAGGCAACTCGGACTGGGCTATGCCAACCACGGCCTGCAGGTGAGTAGGATGGAGAGGAACCAAGACTGTTGCCTCCAAAGCCTGTGTTTGGGGCAGAGGACGTGGAAGTGAGTCCTTTGGCCCAGGGGGCTGGATGGTGGGGCCTCACAGAAACCCCTCCTCTGTCCCCAGGAGACCTGGTACTGGGACTCGGGGAATGTAACAGAGGTGGTGATGAGTGGGGTGCGCTGCACTGGGACTGAGCTGTCCCTGGACCAATGTGCTCATCACGGCACCCCCGTCACCTGCAAGAGGACAGGAACCCGCTTCACTGCTGGCGTCATCTGTTCAGAGAGTGAGTGAGAGCCAGCCAGCGAAGGGAGATTCTGGGCCACCCCTTTTGGAGAAAGAGGGCTTTACTCTGGAGGGATGCTCCTTCCCTGTGGAAAACCAGCCTCACACCCATATGGAGGTGGGGGGAGGAATCTCCCCCATCGGTCCTCGCCCTGCAGCAGTGACCTCTAACACTCCCTTCCATCCTGGCGCAGCCGCATCAGACCTGCTGCTGCACTCGGCCCTGGTGCAGGAGACCGCCTACATCGAGGACAGGCCCCTGCACATGCTGTACTGCGCGGCCGAGGAGAACTGTCTGTCCCGCTCCGCCCGCTCAGCCAACTGGCCTTACGGCCACCGCCGTCTACTCCGCTTCTCCTCCCAGATCCACAACCTGGGCAGAGCGGACTTCAGGCCCAAGGCTGGGCGCCACTCCTGGGTGTGGCACGAGTGTCATGGGTGAGAGGGTCACGGCGAAGGGCAGAGCCACTGGGGACAGAGCGGACCTGCTGGGGCCGGGAAGGAAACGGGGTTCCCTGGTCTCTCCTCCCCGCAGGCACTACCACAGCATGGACATCTTCACCCACTACGACATCCTGACCCCCAACGGCACCAAGGTGGCCGAGGGCCACAAAGCCAGCTTCTGTCTCGAAGACACCGAGTGTCAGGAGGGTGAGTTGGTGCCTAGAATGAGCTACAGTATCTCCATCCCATAAGCTGGCCTCACGCTGACATGTGCCGTGTCAATCCCTTCAGATGTCTCCAAGAGGTACGAGTGTGCCAACTTTGGAGAGCAGGGCATCACTGTGGGCTGCTGGGATCTCTACCGACATGACATTGACTGTCAGTGGATCGACATCACAGATGTGAAGCCAGGAAACTACATTCTGCAGGTGCCTGGGATCCGAGATTTCCAGCCGGTGAGGGGAACAGTGTTTATTCAAGACACCTTTGACTTGTGTTGCCTTTCTCCCACGCACAGGTGGTCATCAACCCCAATTACGAAGTAGCAGAGAGTGACTTCACCAACAACGCAATGAAATGTAACTGCAAATATGACGGGCATCGCATCTGGGTGCACAACTGCCACATTGGTATTTGGCGGGAACAGCGGCCCCGGAAGACAGGGGATGGGAGGGAAAGCCCTTCATTCTCTCCTCCCCAAGTTGTTTCTGTCTTCCCACCCACCTCTGGGTCTTCCAGCCTCTTCATTTCCCCCCACCCTTTCCCACAAAGCGTCTGTCTTCCTGTCAAACCACCCATTCACTTTACAGGTGATGCCTTCAGCGAAGAGGCCAATAAGAGGTTCGAGCGCTACCCTGGCCAGACCAGCAACCAAATCATCTAAGGTGCCAATCCCCACCTCTTCACACCACCACTGGCCCCTACTGGCAGGGGACTGAGGCTGCCATTACCTCAGGAGCTTACCAAGGAACCCCTGATGTCAGCAGGCCCGCTGCAATCATCCAGCATGTACTAGAACTGCCAAGCATAAGTTATCAACCTCCTCCAGGGCCAACAGTACGGATCTGTGGCCACGCCTGGGGAATGCTGGTTCTCAGGCCCAGCAGGGAGCTGCACTCGAGACAAAGAGCAGCACCTGATGAACTGGCCAGAACAGCAGACAGCAGCAGCTCGTTTTCTCGAACAGCGAGGTCAGGATGGTCAGCTCCAGGATATCCTCAGTTCAGGGGAAATACAGCTTTACCTCTCGCCATTTTATGGGGGAAAAGATCAGCGCCCCCTCCTTCATTTGCTAGGTATAATTTTATTTTATATAAAAAATGTCTTTGTGATTCTTCAGAGCCCAGGGATCGGTGCTGGTGGTTGGAGGGACCTGCCCCCCACGGGTCCATTTAATCCTCTGCCCAGGTGAAAGCAAGGTGGCAATCAGAGCGGGAGCCTTCTTCTCTTGTTGATCCATTCATTCTGTGATTTCAGGGGTCACATATAAAGTCAGTGTTTCTGGTCCCCGCCGGATCCGCACTGCCAGCTGGGACTGGGTTCGAACAGCTTCATAAATATCTTCAGCATTTTGTACCACCTGCTCCCCGATGGCCAAGATCACATCCCCTGGCCGCAGACCAGCCCTAAGGCAGAGAGAAAGGAAGGAGCAGATAACCCAGTTCAAGGGCACATGCACACCCCACCCACCCCCAGCGCACAGCACAGTCTCTCTCACCGGTGTGCAGGGGAGTCCAGGATGACTTTATGGATGAGCACGCCATGCTGGACGTCAGGAAAGCTTGGTTCTCGAAGCTGTAGTTCAGCAAGGATGCTGAAAGGACACAAACCATGCTGTCAAGCACCCCGAGGTACTCACTCCTCGTTTGAGGTTCACCTTAAATTACTCAATACACTGGCGACTGGGAATGCACTACGTACTCCAGATACAAAGGCCTTCTAGTAGCTAGGAAATGGGACGTGTATAGAAAAAATACCTAAGTCCATGTAATACATAATGTTAAGTCAATAGCACTAATCTCATTCTAGAATCCTAAGAGAAGCTTTAAGGGAGAATTTAAGCTGAGCCTAGAGGGATAGATGGACCTGATATTTAAGTATATAAAACAAAAACAACATAAAGACCTGGAATAGGAAATCAGGTTGACTGGGACAGAATATATTCCTATAGGAATCCAGGTCTGAAAAATGGAAAATGGCCCCATTTACACGAAATTAACAGATTGTAAATCAAAGCAGTAATGAGATAAAATCAATCTGGTGGCAGTTGTGCAAAACGGAGTGGGGTGAAAAAGTCAAGAGGACAGCTCTTCTGATACCTCCAGGTGTGGGGTAATTCACTATGGATAAAGACAGCATTGAGAACAAAGCTTAGCAGAAATGCCATTTGCCCACCAATGTAGGTGGTCCTGCATATCGCACTTCCCCTAAAGCGCATACCTGGGAGTCAGGGTCAGCATCATCACCCCAATGTAGCGGCGCTTGGACCCACTGGTTCCAAACCAGGAGTCTGTGATAAAAAGACAAATGAGTCTCACCTTAGCTACATCCTCCCTTCCCTTCTCTCTAATCCCAGTACACCCTTCTCCACCAAGGCCCAATGGATGCCCCTCCCACCACCTAAAGGACACCCCCATCCCCCAACCCCACTCTAAGTCAGGCTCACTCTTCTTTTCCCCACGATGTAGAAACTCTCGAAGGCGATCAGAAGGGATGGCAAAGGAAATCCCAGCTGTGACTTTCATGGTATTCACGCCAATCACCTCCCCATCCTGCAGGGACAGAGCCCACCACTCCTCAGCCCAAACAGTGGGAGATGGGGCCCCTGAACGAGAATAAGGGAGTGTTGGGGGGTTGGGGAGATCTGATTGGATTTAGGACGACAGCGAACAAGGGACTGTTCAGAAACTTGACCAAACCTCATGGAATGAGGGAAAAACCCACCCCTTCCCACACTGACCTGGGGCTGGGATTCTTGGAAAGAAGGATGTCCCACTCACCAGGTTAACCAGGGGACCTCCAGAATTTCCAAACTGCAGGACAAGGAGAAATTATGGAAGAGATTCCAGGGACTCTAGGCCTGGGGGCATCCCAGGAAGTAGCTTTTTCTCCCAATTATCTCCTTTCCCAGCCCTTGAACAGGGGGCCACATTTTTTGTAGCCCAACTTCCATATACAGGGAGGAGCAAAAACAGCTTTACATTTGTAATACACAATACTAAGTAATAATACAAGAATAAGCTGTGTTTCGAGTACTCACAACTATAGATACTTTTGCCCGCCCCATTATAGGCTCACCCACCATCCATCATATCAGCCTCGCCCTTCTCCCAATCCAGACCGCCCTCCCTCCCACATCAGTACGCACATCAATGGCGGCATCGGTCTGGATGTATTCCACGTTGTTCTGGGGGAGGCCTAGCTCTTTGGCTGGACGCTGCACAGAGCTGACGATGCCGGACGTGATGGTGTTCTGCAGGGCAAAGGGACTTCCCATGGCAACAACAAACTCCCCTTGCCTGACGTCGGCTGAGCGTCCCAGGGGCAGAGTGGGGAGAGGTTCCTGAAAGAGAACGGGTGAAAGGCGGCCTGTCCTCTGGGGACGCCGGCGAGTTCACAGCCCCAAGCAGACCCCGGGCCGCCCGGACGCCCCACCTTGGTCTGGATCCTCAGCGTGGCGATGTCTGCCACCGGATCCACGGCGGTGACCATGGCCTCGTAGGTGGCGCCGCTGGGCAGCCTCACACGAACTCGGCGCCGGTCGGCCACCACGTGGGCGTTGGTCACAATGAGCCCGTCCGAGGCCACCACGAATCCCGAGCCATTGGAGATAGGGACCTCGCGGCCAGAAAAGGGGTGTCTGGAATGGGGGGGGGGGGGGGGCGGAGGTGAGGAGGGCGGCCTCCCCGGCTTGCCCGCCCTCTAGCCCGCGGCCCCGGCGCCTCCGGTCTACCCCACCGTTACCGGCCCAGGATCTCGATATAAACGACCGCAGGTGCGGTCTTCTCCACCACGTCCGCGATGAAGTTGTACTGGCTCCGGGGAGAGGTGGGCGGCGGGCTCAGGACCGAGGCAAAGACGGCCGGGGGACCCCGCCCCCCGCCCCACAACAGCAGCAGCACAGCCCCCCCAGCGCCCAGGGCCACAGCCAGCCAGGCGCGCGGCGGGGGCCCAGGAGCCCCCGAGGCCTCCTCCCGGGTCTGAGGATCCGGGGCGCCCGCAGTCAGCCGCGCTCGGGACTCCGGAGCCCCCGACGTCAGACACGTTCGTGGTCCAGGGACCCCCACGGAGAACCGGGCCCGGGGACTGGGGGTCCCATAAGTCACTCGGGCCCGAGGAGTTCCTGACGTCAGCAGCGCCCGGAGGTCAGGGGTCAACAGGGGCGCTTTCCCCCAGCGAAATCCCCCCAAAGCCCGCCATCCCCGAAGGCTCCAGCCTGCACCCCGCCCCGCCCTCAGCGCAGCCATCAGCTCCGCCTCGGCGGCCTCCTCGCCCACCCTGCACAGAGGCGGCGCCCGGGACGTGAGCAGGTGACCGCGGGACGCGGGGCACGCCGGTACTTGAAGTCCTTGCATGAGGCGCACCCGGATCCGGATTCCGGGAGGCCGGCTCCGCCCCCGCCCGGAGGATGCCGGGAATTGTGGTCCCCGCGGCACGCGAGCGCCGAGGTGGCCCCAGGGCCCGCGAGGCATGCTGGGACGGCTAGCCCTTCCGGGGCGCAGGAGGATTTCGGGTCCTGGCACCCAGGGCCTAGGCCTGGAGACTCCGCCTTCCCAGGAGCCCCTGCGGCGGGTCGCGAAGATGGCGGCTGCGGCGGCGGCGGCCGGACACCCCTAAAGCAACCGCGATGGAGCCTCCGCAGGCGCCGGGGCCGGAGCGACTCTTTGACTCGCACCGGTAAGAACGCCTGAGGGGAGACGCCGGCGCCCGCTCTCACCCGGCCCTCGGCGCCTGGTCATCCCGCCTCTCGCCCGCAGGCTCCCGGGTGACGGCTTCCTGCTCCTCGCGCTGCTGCTCTACGCGCCCGTCGGGTTCTGCCTCCTCGTCCTGCGCCTCTTCCTCGGGATCCACGTCTTCCTCGTCAGCTGCGCGCTGCCGGACAGCGTCCTCCGCAGGTTCCGACCCGGGCGCTCGGGGAGGGTCCGGGCCGGGTTCGACCCCAGCGGCGCAGTCACGGAGCGCCTGCGTCCGCAGGTTCGTGGTGCGGACCATGTGTGCGGTGCTGGGGCTCGTGGCCCGGCAGGAGGACTCGGGGCTCCGGGATCCACGCGTCCGGGTCCTCATTTCCAACCACGTGACACCCTTCGATCACAACATAGTCAACCTGCTCACCAGCTGTAGCACCGTGAGTGCGGGCAGTCCCCGGGGCCCGGCTCGTGGCTGCCCTCTGCCCGCCCGGTTTCGCCTTGGAGACCACGAGATACGGAGCCGTACCCCTAACCCCGTTTCTATCCCCCCCCCCCGCCCCCATTTGTCCGTTTTATCACTTGACAACATTCCTCTTGCTCTCTCTCTTCCCTGTTCCCAGCCTCTACTCAATAGCCCCCCCAGCTTTGTGTGCTGGTCTCGGGGCTTCATGGAGATGGATGGGCGGGGGGAGTTGGTGGAGTCACTCAAGAGATTCTGTGCTTCCACGAGGCTTCCCCCAACCCCTCTGCTGCTATTCCCGGAGGAAGAGGCCACCAATGGCCGGGAGGGGCTCCTGCGCTTCAGGTGGGTGAGCACAGGCATTGGCCTCCACATGCCCTGGTAGTCAAGCTGGAGGGCCCTTAGGTTTTCACAACCTTCTTCAGCCCCAACCCCCTCCATTCTCAGTGCCTTTCTGTCCGCTTTTGGCTCTTTCCCCCGAGTCCCCTGTAGTCCCTGTTTATCTATTTGGGCCGTTTGACAGTTTCCTGTCTTAAGTCAGGTATGAGCTGCTGACTGGACTAACCGGAATCCCCTTCTATTCTTTGAATCCCCTTTTATTCTCTCTTCCTTCTAGTTCCTGGCCATTTTCTATCCAGGATGTGGTTCAGCCTCTTACTCTCCGAGTCCAGAGACCCCTAGTCTCTGTGGTGAGTGCACGTTGGATAGGGGATCTTTGGGGCTTAGGGACAGTCTCCCACACCTGGCCCTGACTTCGATCTTACTTCATGCCTTCCTCTCAGACGGTGTCAGATGCCTCCTGGGTGTCAGAACTGTTGTGGTCACTTTTTGTCCCTTTCACGGTGTATCAAGTAAGGTATTGTCCTCATTTTTTGGTGGCTGGGAAAAGTTCACCTCAAGGTCCAGAGAGTAGTGACCTCTGTCCTGTCCATTTGCAGATCTTTTAATAGCAAGGTTCCACCACAGAGGCAATACAAAGTATTTACTCTCTCCCCACCCTCACTGCCACTAACCTCCACTATCCCATGAAAAGAGGTATCAGCAGCTGCCCCCCAGCATGGCCCTGGGTTGTTTTTTGCAGGTGGCTCCGTCCTGTTCATCGCCAGCTGGGGGAGGGGAATGAGGAGTTTGCCCTCCGTGTACAACAGGTGGTAGGGTACACAGGCAGGGTGGAGGTGGGGTCTCTCCTTAGGCGGAGAGGGAGGAAGGCTTGAGACCTTGACACTCCTGACCTTCCAATTCTCCCTAGCTGGTGGCCCACGAGCTGGGCCAGACAGGGACACGGCTCACTCCCGCGGACAAAGCAGAGCACATGAAGCGACAGAGACACCGCAGATTGCACCCCCCGTCAGGTGTGTGGTCTCTGTGCACGCAGCTTTTTGTTTTCTCCAGCTTACTGTGATGGCCTCCCTGTTCCTGTGCTAGGCAGTCTTTCCTTCCTCCTCGTCTCCACTCACCCTGTTTTGGATTTCTTTTTTGCAGCCCAGTCTTCTTTTCCTCCCTCCCCTGGCCCTTCTCCTGACGTGCAGCTGGCAACTCTGGCTCAGAGAGTCAAGGAGGTTTTACCCCATGTGCCACTGGGCGTCATCCAGAGAGACCTCGGTATGGGAAAGGGTAGCCCCGCCCAGGAAGATGCAGGAAAAGTGGGTGATGAGCGGGGAGGTGAGCAGGGAAACAGGCCCCTTCTCCTCTTCCCTTCTCCCCAGCCAGGACTGGATGTGTAGACTTGACCATCACCAATTTACTTGAGGGAGCTGTAGCTTTCATACCTGAAGACATCACTGAGGGGACCCAGGCCCTTCCCACGGCCTCTGCCTCCAAGGTGAGACCCAGGAAATGGTCAGCTCCAGGACCTGGGGTGGGATGGCGCAGTCCACATGCTCCCTTTCCCTGATGTCTCCTTTTTGATCCTGAGACCCTAGCACAGTGCCTCTCTTGCAAAGTAGGCATTCGATGCAGGTTTAATGATGATGACTTCGCAAGCCCTCTGACATTGTGATCACCTCAGTTCCCCAGCTCTGGCCCGGTGACCCCTCAGCCCACAGCCCTAACATTTGCCAAGTCCTCCTGGGCCCGGCAAGAAAGCCTACAGGAGCGCAAACAAGCACTATATGAATATGCAAGAAGGTGAGGGGCTTAGAGAATAAGGGGCAGGTTGAAGAAGGGAGCTGACTATGGAGTTACTATGGCAAAGCCCACACGATGTCTCCCCCCTATGTCCCACAGGAGATTCACAGAAAGACAGGCCCAGGAGGCTGACTGAGCACAGATGGCACCCAGAGCCGCAGGACGGAGACTGGGGGCAGCCCTCACCCAGCTCTACAGGCCGGATGGGTGGGTGGTAGGAAGGGAGAGATGGGGCTCCCCCAGTATCACATTAAATTCAGGGTTTTCACTCAAGGTCTCTGTTGCCTCTCTGGGTCAAAAAGCCCCCTGAACAGGTTCCTTTTTCCTCGTTTGGGTGGAATGGGGATGAGGGCCTCTTTAGGTTTGTGGGGGGTGGTCAGAATGCAACTGTCTGAACTCGCCTCTTGACGCCAAGAAATGAATGATATTAAGGAAGTTTAACTGAAGACCCAACAGCAACTGAACTTGGCTGGGTTTCAGCCCAGGTTTGTGAAGAAACAGCTGCAAAACTACAAGTCCCAGGATGCCTTTCACAGAACGTGGTTTTTATAGAGTTCATACCAGCTCAATGTGATGGCTGGAGCCCGTTCTCCATAGGTTCCTGACTAGGTTAAATAAGGCGGAGCAAATGGCTCCACCCCAAAAGTGTCTAGAATTGTATTTGAGCCAAGCCCCAGGGTGGAGCCGGAACTGACCTTTATACTTCGTGCTGGTCAAGGTTGGTGGGAACTGGCTGTGTGGTTCTGGAACTGGCTGCCGTCCTGACACGTCTCAGAGCTGCAAGCAGGTTTGATTCCAGGATCCTTGTGGCCTTATTCCCCTCCTTTTATTCTTTATCCTTTTCCCTTAGAGTCCTTCCCACAGGTCTCATAATTCCTCTGCCCCTGAGGACTCCTGTGTTGACAGTCACAGGATTTTTACTACCTGCAACAGGATAATCCACTTCTGAAAGTCCTTTATTTAGAGACGTAGTCTCCACTATTTCCTGGCAGCCAAGAAGTGCTGGGAAGGCCCTGGCTGGGAGGTTCAGTTGGTTGGCTTATTTCCCCGTATACCTCCATATACTGGAAGGTGGAGGGTTCAATTCCTGGTCAGGGTACATATCTAGATTGCAAGTTCAATCTGCCCAGTTGTGGTGCATATGGGAGGCAACTGACGGATCTCCCTTTTCCAACCCCTCCCCCACCCCCAATCAATAAACATCCTCAGGTGAGGATTAAAAAAACACAGCCCTGGCAGGTGTCTCATTGATTAGAGAGCGAGGGCCATGGGCACCAAAACCTCCGGTTTCATCCTGATCAAAGGCACCTGGGTTGCAGATTCAACAGCCAATCAATATGGCTCTCGCATCAATGTTTCTCAAAAAATCTGTGGGAAAAATATCCTCAGGTGAGGATTACAAAAAAAAATCTTCAAGTGATTTTTTTTTTAAAGTGCTTGGAAGGATATACCTCAGTGCATTACCAGCTGAGAGTAACAGGTTGGGGATCAGGGCTGAGGTGCAAAGGTGGTGTGAGGCTTAATGACTGCCCTGCCTCCTGTAGGTCCTGCCGGTGAGCTGTCATGGCTGCTCAGCTGGGCCTGACAGAAGAGTCTGGCCTGAGCCCTGGGGAGCCTGAATTGGCTGTGAACCCCTTTGACGGGCTTCCCCTCTCTTCCCGCTACTACCAACTGCTTGAGCAGCGCCGAGCCTTGCCCATCTGGGCTGCTCGCTTTACCTTCTTGGAGCAATTGGAGAGTAGCCCCAGTGGAGTGGTGATTGTGTCCGGAGAGCCTGGCTCTGGCAAGAGCACCCAGGTGGGGTAGATTCTGGGAGAGACAAGGGGTTGGGGGGATAGAGAATTGGCCCTTACCTGGGCAGAGGGGGATTGGACTGCCAGGGGTTATGGGGGAGGTAGATAAACCGAGTGAGGTTAAGCTGGCCCTTGGGTGGTAAAGCACCAGAGTATGCCCCCAAATAAGGCCATAGCTC